AAATGAAGACTAATTATATGTAAAAAGGAGAATCCTAAAATTTCCTACCTAGAATCTTTAGGGTGGTCTACGTGTTAATAGTACTTTTGAAACTTTTTTGAGCTGCCAGGAATATAGCCAACAAAAAGACAGGAAAAAAAAAGATTATAAATGTGCACATTGATACTGAATTTATAAAATAATTTTAATATTGGTTAATTAATTTATTATTTCTTACTAGGGGTTCTCACAAAAAAAAGGTTTAGACTTTAGAGTATATTAATATTTTCCATTTTAAGAAAATGGAATTTACTTTACAATATTTAAAATAATAAACTAAGGTTTAAATTTTGTAGATAGAGAGAATATAGATATTGTAAGAACTTCTAACTATTTATCTTTAAGATTAGGGTTGGATCCCGAATCAGTTGGAGTTAATAAATTATGGAATATTAGGGTGTTTATAAAAATAGAATTATTTATATTATGAAAATTAAAATAATAAAGTAGTATAAGGAATGACTCCAGTGGATCAAATTTACCCGTTGACATATTGATCTTGTCTCTTTTGACTTTGAAGCTTAGTGTCTATATTTATCTTTTTCGAAGAAGTGAAAATGCACAACCTTTTTTTGTTTACCAAAAGGAAATGGAGGTTGTTATCATCGTTAAATCATCATAATTTCATCTATATATATATATATATATATGCTTCTCTCTACCTTATCACTATCTTATTCTTAGGTTTCCATCTTAAACCAAACTTATTCAAACCCCTCTGTCAAATGGCCGGTGCAAGATGCCATATCAAAATAGTTACTCTACAGTACATAAGCTCAATCACTTTGACAAAATACATCTTTACCACTGTTATATATACTTTAGTCCTATCACTCCCACTTTCTAATTGCTCTATCTTGACTTTCATCGTCATTATCGATCCCATTATTAATATTATTATTATTTTCTGCAATGTATATATTAATTAGGTGAAGAAATTATTTATCATGCATATAATTTATTAGATTAATGTCCTCAATGTTGTGATGATCTGATTATTTTCAAAGTGCTTAGGCTCGAGTTATAGGATAACTCTTAAAAAAACGTAAACTCGAGATTCGTTAGTAATAAATGATCCAAAGAAGGAAAAAGAAAACAATAATAATTAACAATCCCCTCATAATATGAGATGTTAGCATGAAATTAAATATCCGTCGATATCTCGATATATCCATTGATATATCCGATATCTGTACCCTTCGATAAAAATATCCAAAAAAATTTCAATGTCACGGGATATCCGTCGATATATCTGTGTATCCGTCGATATTTATCGATATCTCGATAAATCTCGATATATCCGTAAGTATCCATATTAAATTAAATATATTTTTTTCGTTTTTACATTTATGATTAAAAATATAAGCGACATTTTGATGAATTATTTCATTTTTTCAAAAATATTAGCAATTGAAGTCATTTTTACAAAACTGTGGTAATAGTAATACAAATAATTGTTTTGTTTAAGTGATTCGGTTTGAGATAGACCCGGGTTTCTCGATAATACAATTTCATTCAAATGCTTTTTGGTCATTTATTAAATAGTAATTTGACTGAAATTATCAATCTGATATTGGCCACAATAATTTTATGTGACTGCATCTAGTTCATTTGGATATGGAGGGCATTTTGGATCAAATTCTAGTTATGGTATTAGATCTGGAGCAAATGAGTTTGAATCATTGGTTTCATCTAACATGTATCCAGAGTATCCACTTGAACAACAGACTTATAATGAGCATCCGGTGCAATAGCCAAACGCGGACGTGGTTTCGGGTGAGTGCCCCCCTATTTGATGGTTAACAAGTATTAGTTGAGAGGCATATTTGGAGTATGTGCACAATTATATGGAGGTTTATAAACCTTATATGTCATGACTTGAATATTTTAATTGCCCCCCTATTAGATGGCTAACAAGTATTAGTTGAGAGGCATGTTTGGAATCTGTGCACAATTATATGGAGGTTTATAAACCTTATATGTCATGACTTGAATATTTTAACTGGATTACCGCCCCCGGGGGAGATGATACATCCATACCTAGTAGAAGCCATAGCAGTGGTAACTACGGTAACCAGGTGGGTGAGTCTCCCAACAGGGGCAGCTGCGTACGCAAGGTCTCGAACCCGAGACCTGCTTAAGCTGGAACATGCAACTTACCACTTGATCCAACCCCTTGTTGGTAATAATGCATTTATAATTATGATCTAATACTTTCTTGTTTCAGAAAAGAAATCATATAATTTTTTATATTTAATGAAGTGGTTTATTTGGTAACCATCATTTTGAAGATAAAATAAATGTGTGTCTAAATTAGTATAGTTGATTTATACATATTATATACACTTTTCGCAGTAAAAAATATAAAAAAAAAATTAAAAAAAAGTAATGTCTACATATACTCTATTTATCATATATTGATTCTAAAACACGTGGAAATATGTAAATAAGAATTTGTCAAAATTTCAAAGCAAAATTCAAACGTTTACTATAAATATCCGTCATTTTAGTGCATTTTGGACCACTTATATTTGAATTTCATCGATACCTCGATATATCCATCGATATATCCGTCGATATATCCATTCGATATATCTGTCGATGCCTGTATTAAACTCCATGGATGTTAGGAAGAAGGGGATGTCACATTGCGCTCAACAAAAATTTGATTTAGGAATGTGTTATAATCCGAATTATTCACCTACTCTTAATAAAGTGAAAGAACATCATATAAATAGCCTTCATATATATTTCATATATCTTTCTATTTTTTTATGAAATTTTATTTTGTTAGCGAAGCAACAATTCTCAAAGTATATATTCATGGGACCCATCTCATCAACCACAAGTATGATGATCCTAATCTGATAAAATCATCACAATCTGATGCGATCTACCGACTTATTACCCTTTTGTTAATTTTTTAAATAAGAATTTTGTGTTTTGATGGTTTTTTCCCAAATATCTGATATACTCATTTCAAAACCTTCAAATATGGTACTAAGATAATGACTCTTTTTCCTCATAGGTTGCATTTCTCTTTCAATGCTTGATTGGCAATAAATTAATTTTGGCTTTACTCATCATGTCATTTGGAAAAAGTAGTTGTCAATCAAAATTAATGGAAACAAAGCCAAAGAATTGAGTCATTTGCTATTATAAACCTTTTTAAGAGAAATAAAACAAAAACAAAATCTTAATTGATTAATGAACTAATTAAGAACTATGCAAAAGAAAAGAAAAAGGCATAGATGACCCACTTTTGATTTGGAATGGATATAGTACCCCTTTTTTTTTTTTTTACGAAAGGATATAGGCAAGCAAAATATTATTATAAATAAAAAGCAAGCGATATATTATTGGTGCCGTGGCGAAAGAGTTAGCAATGGATCTTCTAATAGATTCTGTTACTACCAAAGCTGCTGCTCCAAGCTTGAAAGCCTCTTTCTCTGACTCGGACATGCTATCTCAATTGGATCCGGCTCCTTTTCAGTTCTTGAAAAGGACCGGAGAGGCCAATGCATTATAGATTAAAAACACGTGTACAATAGTTAATCAAAGGGTAAGGGTTATTCAATCGAAATAAATTGGTTTGTAGTGGAATTTTCTTCTTCTTCCCGATTCTCTTGCAACTACGATTTTTTTTTCCAAAGAATTACGAATTGTCTATGCAAAAATAAATCCAAGAACGATTTCTTTTTTGATTTCATCCATTATTGGAACGGATTGTCTCTTTCATTGGAACGAAAGTTCAAAAAAAAAAAATGTGCAGAGATACTAATTTCGTCTATTTCTTTCTTTTACTTTTTTTGTTCTTTCAATTTCTTCTGCTTCATCATTTATCCTGCTCTTGCCAAAATTGCAAACTCTTTTTTTTTGATGCTTCTCAACCTTTTTTCCACATGTCTCATAGAAAGAAAGGAATCGGTTCCTTCCTTTTTGTCATGTCTCTACATTTCTCATGATTTCCCAAATTTCTATGTTGTACCAGGAAGAAATTTCCTATCCATTATCTGGCTAATTCCTATTTTATCTGGGTATTTTGTTGTCTTTAGTTTGGGGGGGGGGGGTTTTAATTCAATTTGTGTAATTGATTTAGAGTATCATTCTTCTTTTCACCATTGCCAAGTTCCTTGAATAATTGGGTGTTGATAGAAAGAAAACGGTAGGAGGGATTGCAGCAGAATGAGAGAAAAGAAAATTATCCCGTACAACCAATTTTTTAGAACTAAAGAGATCTTAACCGTTAAATTTAAAATTAGACACGTGTTATCCATCTACTATGGACTGGCCTCTCCAGTCCAATTCAAGGACTGGAGAGGAGTCAGATCCCGAATTAATTTATAATCCTAATTAGTTAACTAAGAAAGAAGAGTTTCTATTGGCGAAAAAAAAAAATTCATTAAAATCACTAAACTTTGACTCATTTCTGAATTTGGTCATTGAAGTTTAATTTGTCCTAACTATTTTAAGTCTTATTCATTAACGTAAAAATGTGTGATGAACTGATAATATATGTCACATTATCATTTATGTTACTTCACCTTTTGTGTCTTCCTTGTCTTTTACACATATCAGCTCTATCTCATATTTTCTTTTATTTAAGTTGTTTTTTTTCCTTTTTTTCCTTGAAAACTTGAAAAAAAAAATTAGGAGGAAATGAAAAATATGATGTGCAGGTTGAAACGTGAATGATGTGGTCATTTATATGACATGTGACTCGAAAATGTTATTTACTCAAAAAAAAGTAATTAAGAAGAAATTACAAATAATTGAGTTCATGAATTGAGAGTAATTTATACAAGTAATTGAGAATAATTAGAAGTAATTGAAAATAATTACAAGTATGAATGTTCAGTTAAGTGTTACAAGAAATCAAAGGATATATATCTCTTTCCATTTTATGCTTTATTTGACAGTTTAGATATATCATATATATGGTATGTCACAGTAGAGTGAATATGAGGAGAGTCAGAGAGTTTTCCGGTGATAGAGCAAAGTCTAGATCAATGGTGGATTGGCGATCGAGCAAAGTCTGTTTTTGGATCCTTGTTGAGATCCATGATAAAGCAAAGGTCGCTTTGATTTTGGCTGGTTCTTGGAAAAGAAATAGATTTTCTATTAGAATCTCCATGGATGAAACTTTCTTGGAGGATCGGAAGTCTGGTAATGTTATCGGTTATGTTAACCTGAACGATGACTATACTTGTTCCGGTGAGAGGATTTTGGGAATTAGGGAGGGGACAGAGACCTTGGTAATGGAAGATGCACTAAATGAAGGTAACAACTTACAGGTTGGAGAATGTTCATCCTTCCAATGTTAGACTCATGCCTTCCTTGGGAGTTGAGTATATGGTTGGCAGTGGCTTCTTTATTGAAAGTCAGAATATTAATTCTATTGTATCCAATTCAAACAAGGAAATCAAAAAGATTCTTTAACAACTGCAGTTTTTCCTGCACGCGCTCTTGCACGCGCTAGGACTTTTCTCTCTCTCGAGCGGTTATCACTTTGTTGAGTTTTCTGAGTTCTTCTCAGCTTTCTGGGTTTTCTTTAGGATTTCTTGGCCTCTTTTCATTTGTGAACTCAGATTTTCTGTTTGTTTTCTTTTCTTGAGCTCATTTTGTTGTTTTCGTTTGTTAGTTTGTGCTTTCGTTTCGTGTCTGGTGTCTAGAGCTGGATCTTTCATAGGTCTAGGACTAGTATTGATTCCTTTAGGATTCTTAGTTAAACCTAGGGTTTGAACCGTTCTTTTCTTGATTTCTTTTTGTGTCTTCTGTTTGTGTTTTCTTCTGCTTGTAACTTCATTTGCTATAGTGTTTGAAATCAGGTAAATCTTGCACACTCTGTTTTCGATTAGTGTTTGGATTGGCGGTGGATGAAATGGATCTGGAAATTCAATTGGAAGATGGTGATGAGGTTAGCTTTGCTCTGACCAAATATATGGTTCCTGGAAAGATCTTAGTGAATCGGATCTTGAATCGCCGTGGTGTTGTAAGTGTGTTGCGTGGAATCTGGCCATTAGAAATAGCTCCTTGTATTCGTGAAGTAGGCGATAACTTGTATGGCATTTCCTTCAAAACAAAAAAGGAAAGAGATCGAGCTCTGGAGGAAGGTCCTTGGTTCATCAAGGGATCATGCATGATGATGAAGAAATGGCAGCCAGGGTGTAATGTTGCAGAAATGGATTTTCAAACAGTTTCCTTCTGGATCCAGGTACACAATCTACCTATTGAGATGTTAACTAGATCAAATGCTAATATTATTGGATCTAGGATGGGTAGAGTTATTAAAATTGAAGATCCGGTTACTAGTGGAGGATTAGGACGGAGTTTTTTGAGAATTCGAATTGAAATTGATGCACATAATGCTCTAGTTGATGGTTTCTGGGTACCGAGGAAGAACATGGAGAAAGTTTGGGCTGAAGTTAAATATGAAAGATTAGCTGATTTTTGCTATTGCTGTGGAAAATTGGGGCATGTTTTGAAACAATGTCCTGAGAATGATGGGGAAGATAATGGTGAAGAGAAGCGGTATAGATATGGCCCTCATATGCGAGCTATTCCAGCTCATAGTGTTAGTTGGATGTCTGCTATAGGGAAAGAAAATAGAAGAGTAGATCCTGTTAATTCAGAAAGAATTCATTCTGTTCATGATGATTCTAGAAGATGGGAGCGTAATAACTTTGGTGATACTAGTAGGGGTGGTATTCTTATGGAGGGAGGACAAAACAGTATGATTGATAAGGGGAAGAAGACTACCTGGGGCAGTAATTTCATGTCATTGCAGTTAAGGGCTAGTGGTAGTGCTGGTTTTGATAGAATGGATAGTAACTGGAGGTTTTCTAGTAGGAGTCATGAGAAGGATGCAGACTCTCTGAATGTTATCCATGGAAGCCAGTTACATATTTCTGATATTCCTGTTTCTACTATGAATATGACTGAGCCTGCAGTTCCATTACATGGTCAAGCAGTTGTTAATTTTGATGACTCAACACACAATTCTAATGATAGGGATCCTGGGCTTGAATTGGATTACCCTCCTGGTGTTGTTCGTGTTCAGCATGGTAGTGATAATGAGACAGAACCTCCTGTTACACCTGACCTTGATCAATTTTCTGATTCTTTTATCCCAAATACATACTCTGAAACTTATACTTTTACTACCCCTGTGGAAAACCATAATATTATTCGCAAAGAGAATTTAGATGTCATTGCTACTGGAAACCTTGAAACTCAACCTTCTGATATTCAGGAAACATTGTTCCCAAATACTAGTCTTACACAATCTGGAAATCCTATACCAGTAAAAATCTCTACCCTACCAGAAAACACTTCTGCTCGAATCTTTATCTTTGATAAAAGCTTAAACACCTATATTCTAGTTACAACACCCTTAAATAATATTGTTGATAATATTGGGGAGGAAGAGAGTATGGATAGGATTGTGCAGTACAGAAGAGAGTTCTTACAGCATGATCATAACACTAAAGAGATTCTCAGCTCTGGAATAAGGGATCTAAGGTTGAAGAGGGGAATAGAAGAAGTTGATACTGAGATTGGAATGATGAAAAGGAGGAAGATTGAAAGTGGGATTGTTATTAGAGAAACAGTGAATATTAATGAAGATAGTCAGGTTCCTACAGGAAGGAAATCTGCTTCTGGTCAAAAGGGAAAGAAGAAGGTAGTGCAAAGAAGAGGCATGAAGAAATGAATTGTTGTTTGGAGTAGGAAACAAGTTGAGGAGCTTTGCCTTTTTGAGGTTCCAGTTACTTTTGATACTAACAGTGAAAAGGGAGATACTGAAGTAAGTGTTACTAATGATTTACAAATGGCTGAGGGCTCTGGTGACTGGCCTTTAATAGTCACCCAGCCATTATGATAGGCCTTTCTTGGAATTGTCAAGGCATTGGATCTGCCTTGACAATAAAGGAGCTTAAACAGATTATCCACAAATATGATCCAGATGTGGTTTTTCTTATGGAAACTCGGAATGGTAGGGAGATGGTGGAAAAAATTAGAAAGAAAATGGGTTATCCTAATGTTATATATGTTGATCCTGTAGGGTTGAGTGGTGGCTTGAGTCTTTGGTGGAAAAAAGAATATGTGGTTAGTAGCATTGAGGAATCTAAAAATGTGATTGATACTGTTTTTGAGTTGGAAGATGGTGGTGACAAGCATAGAATCATGCGGATTTATGGTGCACCTGTTTACTCGGATAGGAAATTGGTTTGGGAGAAAATTAATAGGAAAACTTTGAGTATTGAGGAAAAATGGATGTGTATTGGTGACTGGAATGATTTGGAAGATGTTGAAAAGGAAGGAGGTAGACCTAAGGAAAGAAGAGTTTTGCAGAATTTTAGAACTGTGGTTGAGTTTTGCCAGTTACTTGAAGTTCCTTCTCAAGGGCAACAGTTTACTTGGTCAGGAATTAGAGATGGAGAGATAATTAAAGAAAAATTGGATAGATGCTTGGTGAATCTAGATTGGTTGGAACAGTACCCTAGAACTCAGGTGTGGAATTTGCCAGCTATTGGATCAGACCATTCTCCCTTGGTGATTAATACTGTTGTTGGTGATAAAAAGGGTGCCAAATTGTTTAAATTTGAAGCTATATGGTTAGAGAAAGAGGATTGCAAGCGAATCATTGGTGAAGGATGGAATAAAGAAGTTGATGGATCTAGAGCTTATAAGGTTGTTTGTAAATTGAAGAGATGTAGAGAATTGTTGAAAGAATGGTGTAGAGAGAATAATAAGGACAGAAAAATGAAAGAGAATCTTCGAGCTGCAATTGCTGATATTCAGGATGTGGGTAAAGATATTGAGGACAGAGAATGCATTGAGGATATGACAGAGCAACTTCACAAAATTATGGAACAAGAGGAGGTTTATTGGCACCAAAGGGCTAGGGTTAACTGGCTTAAATGTGGGGACAAGAATACTCACTTTTTTCATCAAACTACTCTACAAAGGAGGCAAAAGAATAAAGTTTTGAGATTAAAAAGTGGTGATCAGTGGTTGGAAGCTAAGGAAGATATTATGGAGGAATTCACAAAATATTATGAAAATATTTTTAGTACCTCTGGATCTAGATATTGGGATTCTGTTTTGAACCATGTTCCAGTGTTGATCAATGATGAGATGAATGATTTCCTGACCAGAAGAGTGACTATGGAAGTGGTGAACGTGGCTACTTTTCAAATGGGAGAGCTTAAAAGCCCTGGACTGGATGGTTTTAATGGTTTGTTATTTCAACAGAATTGGGAGGTTGTTAAAGATGATATATATGCTATGGTTCAAAGTTTCTTTGACAGTGGAAGGATGTTGAGGGAGCTTAACAATACTGATCTCGTAATGATTCCAAAGATTAAAGGTCCTGAAAGTGTTACTCAATTCAGACCTATCAGTCTTTGTAATTATGCCTACAAAATAATTTCAAAAGTTATGGTGAATAAGCTGAAAGGCTTCATGGGAGATCTGGTGACTGAAAATCAGAGTGCCTTTGTGCATGGAAGGCAAATCCATGATAATGTACTTATTGCACAGGAAGTATTCCATTATTTGAAAATAAAGAAAAAAGGAAAGCAGAGTGATGTGGCTGTTAAAATAGACATGAGTAAAGCATATGACAGGGTGGAATGGGGCTTCCTTAAAGTTATCCTTATGAAGATGGGTATGAATCCTCACTGGTGCAATATGATTTCAGAGTGTGTAAGTACTGTTTCCTATACTATAGTTATAAATGGTAAGACTAGTAGAGGAATTTTCCCTTCTAGAGGTCTTAGGCAAGGGGATCCTCTATCCCCTTATCTTTTTCTCTTAGTAATTGATTCCCTGTCTAGGATGATCCAAGCAGGTAATGATTCTAAGCATATTGCTGGCATCAAGGTGTCTAGGAGTTGCCCTGAGTTGTCCCACCTGTTGTTTACTGATGATTCTTTATTTTTCTTACAAGCTAACTCTGAGAATTGTTCTAGATTTCTTCATATTTTACAGGAGTTTGCTGATGCTACTGGACAAATAATTAATTTGGAGAAATCCAGCTTAATCTTTAGTGCTAATGCTCCTGTTGATTTAAGAGCTGAAATTTCTCAGAGATTACAAATTCAAGAAGCAGCTAATCCTGGAATTTATCTCGGATTTCAATCTACATGGGGTAAAACGAAATGTGGAGCCCTTCATTATATTACAGAAAGAGTTCAAGCAAAACTTAATGTCTGGAAACAGAAGTTATTATCGTTGGCAGGGAAAGAGGTCCTTATTAAAGTAGTAGCGGCCTCAATCCCTGCTTTCACTATGACCTGCTTTATGTTGCCTCAACGACTTATTAAGTTATTATCGTTGGTAGTGGACTTCTATGGAGACTCAGCAAGCTATTGAGAAAATTCCTTTGGGAGTTTTTGATCGAGCAGACAGAAGGACTTGGCCTTACACAAAGAATGGAAGATATACTGTTAGATCGGGATACTATGCAATTAGAACTTGTAACAATCAGCCATCACATGTACATAAAGCATTTAGTTCTTATATAATAGATAAGTATACATGGAGCCTGATTTGGAATATTGAATGCCTTCCTAAAATTAAAGTTTTTTTGTGGAGAGGATGTAGAAATGCAGCACCAACTTTGTTGGACTGTATAAAAGGCATTGTGCAAATAGTGCAGTCTGTCCTGTCTGTAAGACTGAGTGTGAATCTGTTGAGCATACTCTATTGACATGTGAGTGGACTCGACCTATTTGGTTGCTATTTGTGGTATTTTGATTGATAAGCAGAGTATTACTACTTTGGATCAATGGTTGATTAATGTCTGGAATAGAGTTAAAATTCTGATCATGCTGGATACTTTATGACCTTAGTTGCTTTTTTATGTTGGATTTTATGGAAAGCCCACTGTGAATTTGTGTATAAACAGAAGGAAATTGATCTTGGAGGGGTGGTTTATAGAATACAGAGTGCTGTCAGAGAGTTTGTAAGTTTGAGATCAAAGAATCAGCTGGATGAAGTGGAACTAAGTAGACTTGAAGAACAACAATTATGGACTAAGTCTCCTCCTGGCTGGATAAAAATTAACAGTGATGGTTCTTTTTGCAAAAAATATTTGGCTGAAGGTTTTGGCATAGTTATAAGAGATGAAGAAGGTAATGTGCTTGATGCTTTTTCTTCTTCAGTAAAGGCAGTAGATGCATTATCAACTGAAGCTCTTGCACTCAGGTAGGCAGCAAAACTTGCAGTTTCTAGAGGGTATGATAAAGTGTGCTTTAAATCCGATTCTTCTATATTGGTTAATGGTGTGAATACTATGGATAGTGGAGTACAGAATTGATCTAATGGTGCTATAGTTCAAGATATACGAGTATTGGTGAATAGTATAGCAAATAAGAGTGTTAAACAGATTTCTCGGAGAGCCAACAAGGCTGCAGACTGGTTTGCTCAACAGTCTCGAAAGGGGATGAGCTGTGCTGATTGGAGACAGCATCCACCATCCTCTCTGGTTGGAATTTGGAGTTTAGATGGAGTCCCTGCTCCCCATTAATTTTGTTTATGTAGCCAGGGAGATTGAGTTTAGTTAGCTCTTCTCTATATTTCCTTGGCTTTTTAGACTATTGATGTACTGCTGTTTCTAGTTTCCTTTAATGAAATTCCTTTCTTGATGCCAAAAAAAAAAACAAAGAAATCGGAAGGAGTATTAATTCAGATGTCCCAAATTCAAATAGGGAATCTGAAAGGCATGACGAGCATAGGTTATGGGAAGATGATAATTCAATTAATTTGGGCTTGGACTCACCCAATGTAAGTGGGCCTGTGGAATGTGTTATTAGACCTCTTATCTGTATTGGGCCAGAGGGAATGCATAACTATGGGCTAGATGTTCAGCCTTTAGTAGTGGTGAAAAAGAAGAAAAAATTGCTAAATCGTATTCCTGAGGATGGCAAAGCCACCGTTCCTACAATATTTGGCTATTCAATATCAGATAGTAATATTGAAAATAGGAACAGAGTCTTGATGGAAGAAGAAGAAGCTATTTGGGAAATTAGCTCGACTTTGCATGTGGTGTATAACAAGGATAAGCAAGAAGTGGTACGTGCTCTCATTGAGCAAGAGAAGGTTTGAAGAAGGTATGGTTTTTGTAGGTGTTTCGAGTGGCGTTCTTTTATTATGAGAATTGCTACCTGGAATATTAGGGGGTTGGGCAGAAAAGAAATAAAAAAGGGTAGTAAGATCGTTGGTAAGGAGGTTTTGGAGATGGTTTTTATTCAAGAAAGTAAATTAAGTCGTGATAGTAAGACGTTGATAAAACTTGTGTGGGGAAAAGGTGGGTGTAGTGGTGATATGAATTCTGAAGGTGCCTCAAGTGGTTTGGTGACAGTTTGGAAAGATGATTTCTTTGAGAAAGAGTTTGCTATTATGAGAAGTAGATTCATTGTTGTTGTGGGTGTCCTTAAGTCAAATGGAGTTCGGGTCGGTTTTGGGAATTTTTATGCTCCCAATGATGATGCTGAGAGAGTATTGTTCTTTCATGAGGTGAAACAAGTTATTGGTGGGTATAATATCCCATGGGTCTTAGGTGGTTATTTTAATGTTGTTAGATGTCCTGACGAAAAAATTGGGGTTGTGTATAATCAAGGGGCTATGCGGTGTTCTGTGGAGTTTGCAGAAGACCTTGCATTGATTGATCTTCCATTAATGGGTGGACGGTTTACTTGGGGGAATTATAGAGATAATCCTTCATTTAGTACACTTGATAAATTTCTCATTTCTCCTTAAATTATTCTGCTTTTTTTGGGATTAACTCAGAAAGCTCAGCCTTGTTCTCTTTCGGATCATAAACCAGTGTTGCTGGCTATGGATGTTATGAATTAGGGTCCTAAACCTTTTCGTTTCTTTGAAAACTAGAGGAAAAAGATTTAAGGGATATTATTGCCAATACTTGGAGTCAAGAGGAGGATGGAGACCTTTGGAAGAAGCTTAGAAGTCTCAAACCTGCTATTAAAAACTGGCAACTAGCTAGGGGTACAAATAGAATCCGTGTGATTGAGGAGGAATGCCATCAGTTGGAGACTGAAATTCAGCAGAATACATGATGAGAATTTGAGATCTAAGTTGACAGAACTTAAGGTCAAGTTATGGAATCTGTATAGAGCGGAGGAACAAGCTTGGTGTCAAAAATTGAGATTCAAATGGTTGCAAGAAGGCGATAGAAATACTCGATTCTATCATCTTGTTGCTTCCGTTCGAAATAGAGTCAATTGTATTAAGAGCTTGGAGTTTGATTGTAGAACTATTGAAGATCCTTTGGAGTTAAAGGATTACATTGCTGATGATTTTGAAAAGCACTTCAACCAGAATCTTGCCATTGGTATTGAGGATTTCGGGGGTGATTTTTCGATGCTATCTCATCAGAATTTTGAATGGTTACAACGACCGTTTGATGAGGAAGAAATTCTTGATGCTATCCACAGCTGCGATGGTAGTAAAGCTCCAGGGTCCGATGGTTTTAATTTGAATTTATTTAAGAAGTATTGGGGAGTTGTCAAGAAGGATATTCTTGGTTATTTTTGACTTTTTTTTTCAAGTTTTCAGTTTTTGACTGGAAAATTAATACCTCATTCATCACTTTGGTTCCTAAGTGCATGAATCTTACAAAAGTTACCGATTACAAGCCAATTAGCTTTAGTTGGCAGCATCTACAAAATTCTAGCTAAGGTTCTTGCTAGAAGACTAAGTTCAGTGATGAAGGAAATTATTGGCCCGAGCCAATTTGCTTTTATCAGAGGAAGGCAGATCCTTAATGGATTTCTCATAGCTAATGAGACTATTGATGTAATGAAGAAGGATGGAGTTGGTGGTGTCTGTTTTAAGGTGGATTTTGAAAAAGCTTATGATAGCATTAACTGGGATTTTTTAAGATTTGCAATGAGGAAGGTTGGTTTTAGGCAGACTTGGATTAATTGGATTGTGTCTTGCATAACAACGACGTCCATCTCTATTCTTGTCAATGGCTCTCCCTCGAGACAATTTGGCATGATGAGAGGTTTAAGGCAAAGGTGTCCTCTTTCTCTTCTTCTCTTTAATATCGCTAGAGAGATGTTTGCTATGATGGTGAGGAATGCCGTGGAAAAGAGACTTATTGAAGGAGTAAAAGTGGGAAATAATGGTTTTGAAGTGAATCTTTTGCAATATGCTTATGATTCGATTCTTTTTAGCAAACCCGAGACTGAAAAGGTGTGTAATTTGGGAAGAATTCTTAGATGCTTTCAACTCATGTCTAGTCTTAAGATCAATTTTGGTAAAAGTAAGTTGAGTGGTGTTGGTGTTGATAATCATGTTTTACAACAATGGGCAGAAGTTTTGCATTGTTCGATTGAATCTCTTCCTTGTAATTTTGGGATTACCGTTGGGAGCGAACCCTTGTTCGAAGAAGATATGGAAGCTGATGGTTGATAGATTTCAAAGTAGATTATCAAGATGGAACGGCTCTCATCTTTCAATGGCTGGTAGGGTGGCTTTGATCAAATTAGTTTTGTCGAGTATGCCTTCTTATTACATGTCATTGTTCCCTATTCTGCAAAGAGTGAAGGAGAGTTTGGATGAAACCCAAAGAAAATTCCTTTGGAATGGTGCGATGGATAGCAGGAAGATGCATTTGGTTGATTGGAATACTATTTGCAATCCTAAGGAGATGGGAGGTTTAGGAATTGTGGATTTGAAGCTGAAAAATAGGGCTCTACTTAATAAATGGTTATGGAGATTCAGTGATGAAGATAAAATTTTATGGAGAAAAGTCATTATTGAGAAATACAGTATTTGCGAGAACTCTCTACTTCCTGTCGGAATAAATAGGAGAAGGTGTTCCAGACTTTGGTGGAGGATTGTTGAACCTATTTATTTGGATAGAGATGAGCCTAATTTGACTACCGAAGGGATGAGGATAGAGGTGGGTAATGGTGCTTTGATTAATTTTTGGAACAATGCTTTGATTAATTTCTGGAACGATGCTTTGATTAATGGGATGATTTTGAAAGATAATTTCCCTAGGATTTTTGTTCTTACTGTAAATAAGAATGCGAAAATTGGTGAGTTTGGAGTTTGGATTGAGGATAAATGGGAGTGGAAAATTCATCTTCGACGTTGTCTCTTTGATTGGGAGAATTTTCAGTGGGTTGGTCTCATTGCTTTACTTGATAATGTCACATTATCTCACGAGTTTAAGGATAAACTTATTTGGAAGCATTCCTCTTCAGGTTTGTATTCTGTTAAGGAATTTTATAAATTTGTTTGTTATCAAAATAATTCTCCTGATCCCATTTGGAGGAAGATTTGGCTCGAGCTTGCTCCGCCGAAGGTCGAGATGCTTCTTTGGCAGTCCATTCGGGGTAGAATTGCGGTGAAAAGCTTGTTATATGCGAGAGGCTTACTCTCAATGGAAAATATCGGATGCCATGTCTGCAATGAGGAGCTTGAGACGGTGGATCATATTTTTCTAAAATGTAAAAGATCCTGGCTTGTTTGGCAATATTATTGTGCTAAATGGAAGGTGAGTTGGGTTATGCCAATGGAGGTTAGTAGTGCATTTCAGATTTGGATTGATATTTACGAAAATTCTGTATGGAGAATGACATTTTATGCTATATTGTGGACTCTTTGGACTGTGAGAAATGATGCTATTTTTAATGGTTCTTCTATGGAGGTGTCTCAAATCCAGGCTATTGTTGATTGTAGAATTGCTTTTTGGTGTAAGGCTAAATGGCCAAATAGTGCAGTGACTATTGATGATTATTTAAGGGGTCTTGAATGCGTTCAAGTTCCTGATATTGGCGTTAAGAGGAGGCTTCATTTGGACTGGTTATCTCCGGTTGAAGGCCAACTTAAAATTAATGTTGATGGTGCTGCTCGGGGACAACCTGGTGAAGCTAGAATTGGGGGAGTGTTGAGGGATGAGTCTAGCAGTATAAAGATGATTTTTTCCAAGCCAATTGGTCTGGCGGGTTCCAATTTGGCTGAAGTCTTGGATATTAAGGAGGCGTTCCTAATCTTTGTTGCTTCCAGATGGGCTAAAGACAAAGTACTGGTAGTCGAGAGTGACTCGATTAATGCGGAGAATGATCCTAGTACAGTGTCTTGGAGGTTTCGGCAAATCATTTTTCAGATTGAAGGCTTCAAGAAGATTATTTCTAAATGGGAAGTGAATCATGTCTTAAGGGAAGCTAATGGCATTGCGGATGGACTTGCTAACTCGAGTATTGATAGGGCTCTGATATTTTGTCTAGCTTTGAGTAAGAGCTGGCTGTTGGTGTGGTGTTGTTGTGTTTTGTTGTGTATTCTGTTGGGTTCATGTGATGTTTAGTTCCCTGTTGTAACATCCACTACAAAAAAAAAAAAAAAAAATTGCCTCCCTTACGGAATTTGTGACAAAAATATTCACTAATAATTTTTTTACGACGGAAATACCCATCAATAACGATTTGTTACCAACTTATTGCTACAGAAAAAATTTTCCGTGATAATATTTTGGTGGGTATTCCACATTTTTTCTTGTAATAATCTGGTTTTCTCCTTTCCCTTTATAAATAAAATTGCCTTCTTGCCTTTCAAAAAAAATTAGATGGATAGTCCATTTTCACAATATTTGAGTTCACATGCAATCAAAGTTTGATATTATCTTATACATACATAATTCGGAGAACATATATACCGATTATAAAAGGTTACTGGGATTAACATGACAAGGTTATACATAATTTTATTTTTCACTTGAATTAATCTAAATCATAATAAAGCAAAGCAAACATGTTTTAGAGATCCCAATCCATTAAAATAAAGAGGAGTTGCAATAAGTTTTAAGAAAATCATGCAACCAAGATGGCATGTCCTTAATCCATATCATCTAAAGATAAGCCATGTTTAGCCAAATTATATATGGACAACATGCATGTTGCTAATTCTACCAATATGTTGCAGCAAACAACTAAGATCTTCAAGCTTAATTACACGAAAAAGGTTGAAAAGTTCATAAAGTAATTAACATTAATTGAACGTGTGTGACAAAACGAGCGGTTGGTAAAAGAAAGGAGGATTAAATAGTGGTTAATCGTATTTTCGAAGGAGGCAATATATTGCATCATCATCCATAGTTATTAGGAGCAAAATACTTGATGCGCCAACAGTACTCTTAAATTTACGATCTGTTACCAAAATGTTGAACTCTTATGACTACTTATCAAAGTTAAATATATGTAGTAAAGAAACTCATTGATATACGAATAGAATATATAATATTCTTCCAAAGCGTGTGAAAAATAGGGCAATAATGAATGCTGATTTTTGGTTCATGAGTGATGTCTAGTTTTAGTGTGAACAAACTTCACAAGCAAACCCTTTGAAACGGCTCAATATATATTAAAATGCATGTTCAAGATACAAAGGGAATAATGGAAATCATGGTGATCCTATCTGCCCTAATTTCAGCTGATATAATTGCTTCATATAACCTACAAATATAGTATACAGATACCATACAGAATTTCCTTTGAGACATAATGATTCATTCATCAATTAATTCTTGCATATATTGTTGGCTGTTCAAGTCGTTTGGACTGTTCAAAAAGAGCAACATGCTTAATTAATTCAAGGACATAAATTTGAGGCCACTTGCGCAAGGTAATATAGCCCCTCGCCCTATCAAATTCTAGGTTTGTTGATAGCACCTAGAATTTGTGTTTTAGATCATTAATTTTCCACTTACAATTAATAGGACCATATATATGCTAATGCACAACAAAACATTCAAATTTGACCAAACATTTCTTACCTTAACATGGATATATATAGCAGATGAGTCGAGAAGCACGTTATTAAACAAATTGCATGCTAGCTAGTTTTTTTTTTTTTTTTTTGGGTGAGTCTATAAACGGGAGCAGCTGTGTAAGGTCTCGAACATGAAATCTGCTTAAGTTGGAATAAATCGCTTACCACTTAATCCAACCCCTCATTGGTTCATATTAGCTAACGATCAAATATAATTTAATATCAAATCACTATTCATACTATCAAATGGATTAGTAAAAAACTAATAAGTGATGAATACAATATGGAAGTTTAATGGGTTTTATCGGTATTGGTCGAGGTGGCAATGACGTCTTAGTTTATCTATCGTGGACACTTAAAAAGTTTGATTTCTTAGGATGGTTTTTGTTGGGAGAGTTTTACCTTCTATACTTTATGGCAAATCTTGACACTTGAGAATTGAGAGGGGGCCAATTTGAATACGACTATTTTTATGGGGCCAATTTAAAATTTTCTAAGAAAATATATGCAAAAATCTATATCTATATGTATAATAAAGATTTAAATTTTCAATTTATGTCTACGGTCCGCCCCTACTCCCATGATGAGCCGACCTGCTTCAAACATTGTTTAATTATAGACCATTAAAACAGCTACTAACCAAAAAATGTTACCGAGTCTGGGTGCGCTTAATTAGTTCTATTTAGGATGGCAGTGGTGTGGTTTTTTGCGGATATCCGACGCGTTTAAAATCGTTTAAAATCCGAAACCGTTTACGAAACGGTTATGAAGCGGTTTTGGATAGTCGAAGCGCTATCCGTTGCGGTTTTGGAGCGGTTTCGGTTTTAGGGTCTTGGATAGCGGATATCCGCATAAAAACCGATTATAATCTACTAGTGGTTTTGGATAGCGGATATCCGCATAAAAATCATATAAAATCCGTTTAAAACATAAAATTGGGCTAATTTGACGGTTTTGGATTCGGATTCGGTTTTTAGACGGATATCCGCTTAATAAATGGTTTTGCGGTGCGGATTTGGATATTGTGAAACGGTTTCGGTGGGTTTTGGTTATTAGGTTTAAAATTTTAAGCGGTTTTAAGCGGATTTGGATAATGGAAAGTTAAACGGTTTCAGTTTTGGATAGTGAAAATTTCGCGGTTATCCGCACCGCTGCCATCCCTAGTTCTATTAATGATAAAGGTTCAATTACTAATAGCCAAAGTGGTAAGTACCAAAAAAAACCCATTGTGCAATAAGCTTCGATCATGTTAATGAGTCTGGGTGCGTTTAAGGTTGAATCAAGTGATAAACGGTTTGTTTTAACTTAAATACAGGTTTTAGACCTTGAGTACGCAACTGTCCTTGCTGATAGATTCACCCATCATAACCAGATGTGTGACGCGGGTCAGATCTGGATTAGATCATGTTAAACCAAAATTTTCATATTTAAAAGGGAATTGATTAGAATGATGAAAAGAAATTAAGGGTGTGGATTGAAGGAGCGGCTCAAAGAGCATAGCACAATTCACTAAGTTATAAATTGAGTTAGCTTAATTATATATACTAGGTACTAGTAGCTTTTAAGCAAACTATAGATAAACCTCAAACAAGTCAAATATTTAATGTCATTTTGACGAACGCCTGGGCGGTTATATATTGCTTTGATCATGGCCAGAATGTACCATTAAGGCTAAAAATGAGTGGCCATCTACAGCAGTCCCTTATTATCCGACCACATTAACCTAATCATTTCTATCCATTTCCCTGTTTCTTAAGACAAATCATTTCCATTCTTCTTCTAAGCTATATTCTTCTCTCTTGTGAAGTTTTTATGTGCAAAATTGCCCATATAAATTTCTGGCTTTTGGATAATTAATTACAACACGACAAATCTTTTCCAGATTAGACTATATATAGTGTGAACACTTGTGAATTAAGATATGGAGTACATGAATAAACATCCAAAGATGTGAACACAAGAGTTGATATATATGAATTGTTCTGTCCCAATATATTGGGAAACTTTCAATCACCACATTATTGATTTGGTACCCTCATGCACAAATGTGAAAAACACCTTAGCTGTAAGAGCTTCAAACTTGACCCTTTTACTTATCAGAAAAAAAAGGAAAAAACTTGGTCCTTTACGCCAAACAAAATTTTAAATTATTTTTTATTTATATTGACGAATGATTGGTAGGAATGGATTGCCTGCGCTTTGATGTATATAATGGGTTGTCCAAATATTTCTAATATTAATGGATTTTACATTTTACTTTTGTTACTCAGGAGAGGATGGAATAATTGTTTTAAACTCGATTCCATAATCAGGAAAATGAATCAATCATTAAATCAAATGTTCATACGAATATATCTATATCTAGCATAAGTACTTCATGTTTGAATCTAATCTAGCTAAGATATTTCTCTAGTTAACAAATTCAATGGATAAAGCATGCATATAGAGTGGTAGAAGGAGAAGCTATAGGTGAATTATATATATATATAAAATATGAATGTATATATCTTAATAAATCATAAATCATAAAAGAAAAAGGGGGTGGGGTTTGCTTTAGCAAACAAGAAATAGTGTAAACCAAGTAAGTGGGCAGAGGCATTGCTGGGGCGGTTTGTGGGTGGGACTGCAAGAGGCTGCTCAGCTCTGCACTTTTGAGTTTCTTTTAATTTGTGTCTCACAATTCATTATATTCAGCACACAATTTTCAAACCTCCCATAATTTTTTTCTATTTCTTTTTTCCTTCCATCAGTGTTTCTTGAACAAACAAACACTTCCAATCGATAGAGAATGAAAGGTTAACAAAGCTTGAAAATGACCTAATAATTAACAACAAAACAAAAACCTTCTAGACTTCTAGAGAAATATATATAGCTAGATTTTATATAAATGAAGAGTTTGATAGTATACATACATACATACATACATATATATATATATATTATATATATATATGTATGTATATGATGATAATGACTTGTGTGCCCACATTTTATATGCCCAAGTTGTTTGCTTTTGCTTCCCATTAATATATATTTATGAATTACTATAATTTTTCCCGAAGCTTATGATTGCATTCTTCCTTTTGTCTGTTCTTGATAGCTTTTGATTTTTTTTTTGTTTTTATGTAAATTAATTTCTTAACTTTGTACTTTGTTTATTTATAACATATATGAAATTATAGTACGGACTGTTTCCATGGATATATATGTTCTAGTACATATATACATAGAATAAAAATGATTCTTAATTAATATATAGAAGATGCTTATTGATAATAGTAATTAGTCTCTCTTTTTTTTCATTATGGGGTTCTCTTTTGTGGGGGTAAAGGGAAAAGGTTCACTTTGTCAATGTCCTGTTTTCTTTGTTTGAACGTCAGACAATGTAGTCCTTTTTGTACAAAATGTTAGATTGTTGTACTCGGTATACATATACACTTTATTTCTTCTTCTTTTTTTCCTTATTACCATTTTCAATTTTTTTTTCACTTTTTTTCTCGAATTTAACTCGGGTATCTACGAAATCTTATAGGTCCAAAT